CCGGGGCGGCGGCTGCCGGCCTGGCCTCGGCGCAGCCCACCGAACTGGGCGCCCACAAGCGGCCGGCGTCCGTGTCCAGCAGCGCGGTGGTGGAGCACGAGCAGCGCGAAGCGGCGGCCAAGGAGAAGCAGCCGCCGCCTCCTTCGCACCGCGGCCCAGCTGACAGCCTCTCCACCGCGCCGGGCGCTACCGAACTGGGCGCCGAGGGTGCAAGCAAAGGCCGCGGGCCCGGAGAGCAGGACTGGGTCAACAGGCCCAAGACCGTTCGAGACACGCTGCTGGCACTGCACCAGCATGGCCACTCGGGACCCTACGAGAGCAAGTTTAAGAAGGAACCGGCCTTGACTGCAGGCAGGTTGTTGGGTTTCGAGGCCAACGGGGCCAACGGGTCAAAAGCAGGTAGGGGCAGCTGTGGAGTGAGGGGATATAGGGGAGAAAAGGGGGCAGAGAGTAGAGGGGGTTCTCGTTCCATTCACTGTTCTACCCCAGCCCAGAAACAACAAACATTCTACTTCCTGATCTGCCTGAGGCGGAACCAGTGCTTAGTGGCAACGTGTTCTTGTGCTGAAGCAGCATAACAGAGATGAGTCAGACGAGGCTGATAGGCACTGACACAGGGTTTTCCTTTCCCAGCACATTCTTGGATGGAAGTATGAGGGCACCAGTCACCCTTTCACCTATTGGGGGACATTAACAATCGTGCACAGTACATTTTGGTACATGCATGCATGAGTAAATGATGGCCATCGTACTTGTATGCCATTTGCTGTGCTTATTATAAGTGGTATACTACCTCAGCTCCATGAGTCCTACCTGTTTTAAGTTGCACGTGCACTTGAAAAACTCATGTTTTTATATATACAAGTGTTTAGAGAATAGAAACTCTGGCGGATTTTGTTATTAAAAGCCATGCTTGTTAGTGTGCATGTTCACTTAGTTCCTTTTTTTCTTCCCCCCCCTCCCCAGTAGCAAGAACAGCAAGGAAAAGAAAACCTTCTCCAGAACCAGAAGGTGAAGTTGGCCCCCCTAAGATCAATGGAGAGGCTCAGCCTTGGCTGTCCACATCCACAGAAGGGCTCAAGATCCCTATTACTCCTACATCTTCTTTTGTGTCTCCACCACCACCCACTGCCTCTCCTCATTCCAACCGGACCACACCGCCTGAAGCTGCCCAGAATGGCCAGTCCCCCATGGCAGCCCTGATCTTAGTAGCAGACAATGCAGGGGGCAGTCATGCTTCGAAAGATGCCAACCAGGTTCACTCCACTACCAGGAGGAATAGTAGCAGCCCACCCTCTCCGTCCTCTATGAACCAAAGAAGGCTAGGCCCCAGAGAGGTGGGGGGCCAGGGGGCTGGCAGCACAGGAGGACTGGAGCCAGTGCACCCTGCCAGCCTCCCGGACTCCTCTCTGGCAGCCAGTGCCCCCCTGTGCTGCACCCTCTGCCATGAGCGGCTGGAGGACACCCACTTTGTGCAGTGCCCGTCTGTCCCTTCACACAAGTTCTGCTTCCCTTGCTCCAGACAAAGCATCAAACAGCAGGGAGCAAGTGGAGAGGTCTATTGTCCCAGTGGGGAAAAATGCCCTCTTGTGGGCTCCAATGTCCCCTGGGCCTTTATGCAAGGGGAAATTGCAACCATCCTTGCTGGAGATGTGAAAGTGAAAAAAGAGAGAGACTCGTGACTTTCCGGTTTCAGAAAAACCCAATGATTACCTTTAACTAAAACTGCTTGAATTGTATATATCTCTCCATATATATATATAAATATATATATATATCCAAGACAAGAGAAATGTAGACTTCATAAACATGGCTGTATAATTTTGATTTTTTTTGAATACATTGTGTTTCTATTTTTTTTTTGACAACAAAAGGTATGTACTTATAAAGGTATTTTCTTCTTTTGTTAATGTTATTAGCATATCTCTGTGCTTTATTATCTTGGTGACAGTTACTGTTCTATGTAGGCTGTGACTTGCGCTGCTTTTTTAGAGCACTTGGCAAAACAAATGCTTCTAGCTGTATTTGTATGCACTTATTTTAAAAAGAAAAAAAAAAACCAAATACATTTTCTGACATAGTAAGATTGCCTTACTGTCTGTTATTCCTCATTGCTAGCCCCTTTCTCAGGCTGGAGGCCCATTGGTGGAGAAGGAAAGGAAATGAGTGAAAGGGGCACTGTTGTGAAGTGGGCATGCCTCTAGGAAATACCATCCATGTTTACCCCAGTCATTGTCCTTTTAGAGAAATAGGAAAGTAGATTTTGAGTATTTACCTATTTCATTCTTTAAAGTTCAGTTGTTGGAATTTTTGGCTGCCAGAGAGTTGCTGCCAAGAGGTTTTGTGATTTTGGGGGAAGAGGCATTTAAGGTAAAGTTGACCACTGTTCACTTGCCCACGTGTTCAGTTGTAAGATTACAATGCTGCGTCCTCTTTGGTTACATAATACACAATTCAGTAACAGAAGGCAGTGACAATGGATGGTGGTGTGTACAAGATGGCACTGCCATCTTTGAACAGAGCCTGACTGCAGTGCCACTTCACCTTTTGAAACACCCTGGTGCTCTGTTTGTTGTTGCTGTTATCCTTTCCTTTGAAGAGTCAAGAGAAGTTAGGTCCCGGTGAATTTGGAGATTGTGGGATTGGTTTCGTTTGTGTTTTATCATTTACCTGTAGTGCTATTGCTGTTGATACTATCACCTACACTATTTCTGGTGAGTGCTAAATACAGTATGGTACAATGACAGTAACAACACATGGTGCTGCCAGGACTGCCCGTGGGCATATCAGTGACAGCCCAAGTGGGGGTGGAGGAAACCTGTAATTTCCTTCTTACATGTGTTTGAAATACCAAGTGAATAATACTGTTCTTCTGGAAAGAAAAATGATGAAACGGTGAAAATAAAGAAAGGGTTTTACATAATAGACAGGCCCCACCTCTCAAACTATTTTTAGACGCCTTTTGTAAACTAATTTCTTTTGATCACATTTTGCATCAGTAAAATGATTTTTTTAAACCAATAAATCATCAATTATTAGAAATAGTTGTCTCACAATAATATTGGGTTTTTCTTTTGTGCTGTTATGATTTAACATCAACAGGAACACTATTTTAAATCCTTTTATGTTCAGGTGTTTGTAACTTGGCCCTGTAATTAGACTGAATCATGACTTAAAAGGTCTACTACAACTTAATGTGTATTGTTCACAATCTAGATTATATTTTAAATTAAAATATAGATTGTTACCCACTTTGAATTCTTTTTTCAGTTATGTTTTTTGTCTTTTTTAAACTGCTCATATTTTTTTAATGGTCGAGTTATTAACACTTGAAAATCAGATACTGCACCAAATACAGTATTTTTCGTAGTGTTTTTAATGAGTGCACCTATTATTAATGCCGTGCAAATTTATGTTACCAGTCATGTTAATATTACAAACAGACTTGCATGATTAACCAGTTTGTTGTTACACTTTTTTTTTTAATTGGGAGTATCTATGACTCAGATCAGACTGGTTTCTCTTATGTAAATGCACACATGCAGAAACACAGTGTCAATTTTACATACCCATAAAGATATTTGTAAAGAATTTGACTCTTGTGGTCTGTTGTATAAATGTGTATCTAGGCACTTTATTATAAACTGGAATTTGACCTCATAGATGTTAACGAGTTGATCAGTCATTTGACCTAATTGTGGTAGCTATCTGTATGTTTTGCAATCTTAATACAGATAAGCTTTCTAAACAGATTAATAAAGCACCATCCTGCTATTCTGATTTAAGTCTATCCAGCTCTGGAAAAGAAGATCTTTGGTTTCTCTGTGCTGGTGTTTAGGGGGAGTGTATGAAGTTTTAAAGGACTCTTACTGAGAAGTAAATCTTACAAAATAAGATCTGCATGACTGGCCCTTGGGTGGCCTTTGTGGAAACTTGCAGCTGGAAAGTGTTGATCTGGTTTATTTTTCTGGCATTCTCTTAAGTTTAAAAGTTAACATTGGGACATGGATTTAATCTTTTGTTGTACCTGATGACAGTGTAGAGATTCTCCACAGCTGGATAAAAATATCAGAAAGCTACTTACTGTACATGGGCAGTATCAGATTTCAAATCCCAATGTTTCAGCTGTGCTTTTAATACTCAGAATATTAGGGGATGGGGTGTTGAAGCTTTCCCTTTTTCGTTTTAACAATTTATAGAATTTAACAGATGTACTGTCTTTCATGTGGCCTCACATTGAGTTATGAGAACATACACATGGTTTACAACTTTTACTATATACCTTTCCTTGGCCACCAAGTATTTTAAAAGTGTGCCACCTTTTAACCTTTACTTTTTTTTAAGTTGAAGGTGATATTTTTTCTATATATGATGAAACTCATGTCAACTGAAGTGAGTGTAATCTCAGATATCGGCATTATATTTTAAAGTCACGCTATGAAACTATCACCTGCATTCTGTCATTTGTCAGATTTACAATACCTTATTTTTAACTTTTAGCATTAAATAAAAATAAAATTGGGAGCACTGAACATTTTCTGAGGCCTTTTTAATTTTTTAAAGTAAGTTTAGAATGGCTATTGTTCACTAATGGAAATGTGACTAAAAGATGTGTCGGTTTGGGGTTGGAATTTGACTGAAACTGCAGGAGAACAGGAGATAAAAGACACGGAACCAAAAGGCAACTGATGATAGAAAAATATAGAAGTGCTAGGGATTAGGAAAAGGGCAACTGGATAGGAAAACAGATAAACACAAGAGCTGAGCAATTTACAGCCAAAAAGCAATCGTTTTTCAGCTTGCAGTAGATACAGCCCTTCTATATTAGTAGACTGAAAGAAGAAGAGATTGACAACTTTGAAAAACTGTCAAGACATGAAGCTGTTCTCTGGAAAGCTTTGGAATAAAACAGCCATGTTGGGCCAGGTAAAATGCACTAAAATCACAAAGATAAGGAGAAAGCCTGCCCTTTGGAAAATTTCAAGTTAAGTCATAGCCAAAGCCATATATGAGCTTTGCTGATGTCCTGAAAGCTAAATTAATATAGAAAATGTGGAAAGCACTGAGATAATTTATAAACGACTATCCACTATCATATACAAATTTCCTAGATGTTTGCAGCTTTTACTCTTTTTATTGATTAATGGCTTGGCAGACTTCTCTATGAAAGGAAGTTGTAAAATTTACAGAGCTTCAGAATAGGGTATACATAGAATTACTCTATGTTTTAAATTTAACAGCAACAGTCAATGTGTAGTTGAATATCTTCATTATGGGTGGTCCAGTAACTGGGAATGCCCATCACTCTGTATTTTTTGTTAGTAGCCAGTTTAAGGCTGTTTGAGAAACAGTATTCTTAATAAGTTATAGTTTATAACTTAAGTGTTTCATTTAATTAGGTTAAAAGATGTTAAACTTAATTTTTGTTCTATAACAACCCTAAAGTTTACTTTTTAGTAAATTTAAAATAGTGTGGCTTGCACAAGTCATTTTTAAAAAATCAAAAGCTTTTCCAAAGTAAACTTTGATGATTGCATTAAGTTTTCAGTTAAGAAAAAAAAAAAAGACCCTTGATGTGGCAGATGTCTTTGTTTATTCCCCAAAGAGGGGGGAAAAAAGGGAAAATATGGAACTTCTTCTAATTCCTAGACTTTAAAAGTCCCTCATTACTCAGAGTTGTTTTGTTTATGATTTATATATTTATTTGGTTAGTGGAGTACTGTGTGCCTCTTCCTGATTCCAGTGTATATGTGGAATCATTCAGAAAAATGTTTAGTCGTTTGTAGGCCACTACAAGTCCTGAGTCACCCACATTTGCTTGCCATTTTTTCATAGGGAACAGTGTGAGAAGTGTGACACGCCTTTCCTCTGTTAGAGACCAGGCTCAGAAGCAACAATGAATGGAATATTGTTACCCCTTCAATATCTGTGGTTCTAGAAATGAGGGGTGAGGATGCTACTTAATGCTTTCATTTTAGGAGTTTAGCAGCAATAATATTGCTTACAATATAAATGATTAAAAATCGTAAGAATTTTTAGTTTATCAGCTATTTATATCCTTAGTTGCTGGCGAATGCAAGCTTGCATTTCCTCAAAAGTTATGATCCCTGGGTAATTTAAAAGGAACAAAATAAGCAAAAATTCTATTTGTAAATTACTTAAGAGGTTGGAAAAAATGAAAAATTACTGGATTATGGATTATCTATGGATTTTCTCTGTTAATCCCCAGATTAATCCATAGTGTGTCCAGGATATTCACACTGTCCCTATTTAACAATTAACAATTTATATGTAATTTTACAGTGAATTTGTTTTAACCCATCAGTCAGTTACCTGCTCACTCCCCATGTCACTACAACTTAAAATGCTTGCAATAAATAAAACAGCTTTCCTTGTTGACTTGAGGTATAATTTCTAATTAGAATATGAAATCTATATTGTGTGTTCCTGTGGTATTGAGCAGCATAATCTATAAAAGCCAAAAAAGGGTATTTTAACGTAAAAGATCTACTACAAGCAATCACTTTAGAAACATTTAAACATTGGGTCTTAAATTTGTTTATTGTGAATCTGAAAGACAATTGAGTAAAATCTTCTTAACTGAACAAACCACTTTTTAATACACTCTTAAGTATGCTTTCAAAAATGCGTATTAGCCCTTTGACACTCAAAATCATAGTAATGGTATCAACACACATAAAATATAATCACAAAATCAGCCATGAAAATTCTCTGGGAAATGATTTTTCTCTTAAGTCTAGTAAGGTCTGGAGACTAGGCTGTAGGATTTCCTAGCTTAATTTGCAAGTACTGACACACACTGTTGAACACATCTTTGAATGGACTTTAAAAGTTAGATTGCATAATACAAGGAGCTCCTCCAGTAATTCAGCAAAAGCCCTTGATGCTGAGATAAGACATCCTAGGTAGAGTAATAATGTCACATTTGAGTATTTCTAAATATAGTTTTATTTGGGAGAAAACGGAAAAGTGGAGTGTTATATAATCTGTAGATCCCATCACTTACACTTTTACTTTGCAATTACTATTTTTATTTATATCATCATTTAACACTCAGATGCCTGAGAAGACAGGAATCTTGCACAGCAAATGAGTCATGTTTTGTGATGCTACTCAGGTAGCAACTTCAGTAGATAAATACTTAGGCCATGGCAGATTTCTCTGCCATTTAGAAAATATGTTTCCCTTGACAGTTCAATAGCATATATTTTGAACTGTAAATGTGGCTATTTATATCTCCAAGAAAAATAAATGCAGATACAGCCTTTCAGTGGAGCAAAGGGCCTTAATTTATTTTAGTGTATGGAAAGAGTTTATTAAAAGTAATCCTCAAATGACTTTTGTCTTCTTACAATTTTAAAATATTAACCATACTAGTAAGAGTTGGACAGAGAAAAACGGAGGAGAGGGAATTGTAAGTATCTAAGTCAGCAGTTCTCTGTACACAGCCTTGTTTTTGGCCCTTCCATGTTCTGCCTAGCCTGAAACACTGAACAGCAAAGTAGAAAGAGGCTGTTCTGAGCCTTAACCCAGACTAAGAGTCTTTTGCCCCTATTTTGTTATTTCTGCCTCTAAACAGCAATTCGTTTTTTTTTTTTTTTTTTGGTGATACAAGATAAAGATTTATTGTACCCGATGCACAATTGAAATCAGAATTTCACAGGAGGGTCACAGTCATTAGAAAAGTTTTGGAATATTCTTAATAAGCACCATATGGATTGCTGCTGCTATTATTTAACACCTATTAAGTAAGCATCCTTCTAGGCTTTGGACAGCTGAGGATTTAAGTCCTGGCTTTCTTAGAGCTTTAAATCAACGCCACAGGTAGGGAATGTCAGTTTACTTAGTTTAGAGCAGACAAGCCTTAACCATGAGTTGATATCCATCCAGGACTCTGGGAAGTATAATTAAGGCTAAATTCTTAAATGGAGATTGAGTCTCTTCCTAGAACTTATACCCCGACCTCAGTAGGATTCTGACAAAGGAACCCAGTCCTCAATGAAAAAGTGCTTTCACACAGTAAGTTCATTAGTCCAAGTACGCAATGCCATGTGTGAAAGGGGCAACTGGACCCCTACATTCATCATATAAATCAAGAGACCAGTTGGGAATCTGAAGGCTAGGTCAGAATTGTAGCATTTTCTTTTTTGCTTCTTATTGTTGCTCAGAGGCCCTTTTGAAAAGGAAGAAAACAGCAACCACCTCTGCCAAGTCCTGTTTACTCGAGGGGAAGGAAAGGGGAGGAGGCTCCCTTACTCTCCAGCCTCCTGCGTAAGGCCTTCGCCCACGAAAAGACCTTGCTGTGGTTTCCAGCACAGCACCCTGACTCACGCCGCGCCAGCATTTATTTATTCTAGAACTTTTCCCGGGCTGCCAGTCAGCGCGCGCGCACACG